TTCATTGAGACATTTTGTCAAACATCTAATCTACACTACACATATTTGGTAATTTCCTTGAAACCAGAAGCTAATTTTGAATGTAGCTTTGGGATAATCAATTCATTAAAATTTAATCACCATAGTATTACCATTTAATTCAAACAAAAACTATTATGCAAATCTAAAAGAGACACTTACCGACTATAGTTGCTCTCTAAAACAACCGAAACGGCCCGTTGATGTGAGTTTGACAAGAGTTGTTGTGAGAACTGAGAAGATGATAAATATGTATATAAGCGAAAATTACATTTGCTTATTGATCCCTTGTATACATAGGGAATATTTGAAACCTTCGAACACCAAGTCTTCGATTAGAAGAGCTTGTAATTGGTAATTTGCGATAAGAAATGGCACACGGTAACCAAAGTGAGATATATGCATTTTTTTTCTTTCACAAGACTTGTTGTAGAGATTTGCAATTTTTTTCAATTGTTCCACACTTTTCTAAATTATAATCATCGACGATATTCATATTAAAGAGGATGATTCGTTATCAATCTTGAAGCAAAATGAGGAAATGGGGGAAGTGAAAAAAGAAAATGAAGAAATAAGAAGTTGAAATGTATAAAAAACGAACAAAACACAGATTAAAACAATTGTCAAAGCAAAATGAAATCATAAGAGGATCCTTGTCTTCAACTGTTACAATAAAAACGAAACAAAAAACTGCAGAAACAACTAGAGTATCGGTTCTACAACCACAAATCATCATCTCCATTCTTATTCGCTGGTGGCTGAAACAAAGGCACTTCCAGGTTGACGGTTAGCCAATGGACCGTGGTTCGACAGATACTGCAACACACAGACACAAACATCAAATCAGAACCCAAGACAAATCAATCAGCCTTAACCATAAACAGTCAAATGTCAAAAATCAAACCTTAGCATTAACACCATCAGGAACAATCCTCTTAATTGCTCTTAGCTTAGTGTAATCAGCACGGTTGAATTTGGTGAACCCCCTGAAACATCAACCAAACCAACCAATGTTCAATTCACCGATAAACTAAAAAACGAAACAAAGAGCCGTTATCAAAACATACCATTTCCTGCTAACAATGATCTTTTGACGACCAGGGAACTTAAACTTAGCTCTACGAAGAGCTTCTTGAGCATGAGCACCATGATTGTCTTTGCACCTAACAGACAAAAGAACCTGACCAATCGCAACTCTAGCACAAGTACCAAGAGCCTTACCAAAAGCACCTCTCATTCCAGTCTGAAGCCTATCAGCTCCAGCACACGAAAGCATCTTGTTGATCCTCAACACATGGAAAGGATGAACCCTAATCCTCAAATGGAAAGCATCTTTACCAGCAGATTTCACCATGTACTTGTTACAAGCAATACGAGCAGCCTCGAGTGCTTCGCTAGACACGTTCTCTTTCTCCCATGAAACCAAATGAACACAGAAAGGAAACTCATCGACTCCTTTCTTCTTCATACCAACATCGTAGATCCTGATTTTTGGATCTGGAACTCCACGACAGTATCTCGATTTCGGGTATGGCTTTCCCTTGATCTGACGGTAACATCTCGCAGGTCCTACAAATTACACAATCGGATTCGTCTCAATCAAAAACAACAAATCTAAGAACCCTAATTTTGACAAAATCGAAAATCTCAACCTAATCCAAACCTAGCGAATTCGATTTCGATTAGCAAAACAAAGGAGCTAGCTAGCGATTTAGGGATTGATTCAGATGATTTTGAATTGAGACTGAAGAGGAAATGAGAAGATCGACTTACTTCGCCCCATTTCGTTGAATCTATTCTTCGGTGATGAGACTTGCAGAACCCTAGAAATTGTAAATGAGACGCGTTAATGTTGTTTTTATAGGAGGGACAAATAAGAGAACCCTAAATTTAGCATACGTAACTGCTGAGCTAAATAAAGGCCCATTGGGCATCTGATTCTGGGTTTTTAGGCTTCAATATTTGACTTGACTTTGTAGCTCCAATGTGAACTGAACAAGTTTTATTTTATGGTCAAAATTTTGTAGTTTACAATTCATCCACGTCAAATATATATTTTATCAGTTTGTTTTGAAAGGTAATCTTCAAATTATAATGTAAGATTATTAATAGTTCTTTGTTTCACATCTTCAAATTATTTTGCTTTATTGCGAAAAGAATCATTGCATTCTCACCATTCAAGATATAACCAAAACGAATTTGTTTTTCTACTCTCATATATTCATTTGAGTTGATAGTCAAAACATTAAAAAAAAAAAACTAAAAGAATATCAGAAGTTGTGGTTTTTGTGACTTTTTGACAACAAACAAAAGCAAAACACAACACTAACTCGTTAAGGATTCATATTCATATATTATTCGACAATTAAATTCTACTTGTTAAACTAAAATTATACACAAACACATTATTAATCCACGAGTTTGTAAATGGTCAAGAAACAAATAATTAGTTTGCTACACATATCAAGTGAATACTACAAGAAACACATTTAGAAACTCAGAACATGGTCTCCAAATTCGACATCAACGAGGACAAATCATAATACGTATTTAAACAAAGACGTACACACAAAGAGCACATATGCACCATACCAAATAACTTAGCTCAGTACAAAGGAAAAATCGCAATTGTCTTGTCTCAAATGGTTTGAAAAACAGTAAAGCCCCTCTATGTCTCTTCTTTCTACCGCTTCTCGCCGCATAAGCAAGTAGCTGCTTGAAGAGCAAAGTAGGTAAGAATAATGTCAGCACCAGCTCGGCGTAAGCACATGAGTGACTCCATCATCACTTTCTCTTCATCGATCATCTTCAGGACTCCTCCAGCTTTGATCATCGAGTACTCCCCAGAAACCTGAAAATTTAATGGAGAGATATAGATCAACAAAAACTGAGAATGCTGTTCGGTAAGAGTGGAAGCAGAGTGTGATAAAGTGAGTACTTGGTATGCAGCAATGGGCAAGGGAGATTGATTCCTGAGAAGCCGTATGATGTCCAAATAAGGGAGACCTGGCTTCACCTGTCACCAAACAACTCCAAGTTATTACCAAACTCTAGAAACGTTGGTTTTCCTTAAGGATGATAAAGGACTTACCAGGAGAATGTCGGCTCCTTCAGCCTCGTCTTCGCGTGCCTCAATCAAGGCCTCTCTATAATTGGCTGGGTTCATCTGATAGCTTTCGTTCACCCACCGAAAGTTGTAATAACCACAAGCTTTAGCAAAAGAACCAAGAAAAAGAAATGATAATGCACTATGGGTTATTATTGCTATTTACGTTTTCTTGTCTCCAAAACGTGGATTTGAGTCCAGGGCTTCACGGAAAGGACCGTAAAACGAACTTGCATACCTGTTGGCATAAGATTCATTCACGAAATTAGACGGAACAATCAAGAAAATGCTTTCGAAAACGCTACTGAGGTCAAAATTGTATGATTACTTTGCTGTGTAAGACATGATGGAGACATTATGAAAGCCTTCAGCGTCAAGAGCTGCACGAATTGCGCCTACTCGACCATCCATCATGTCACTCGGACTAACAACATCCGCTMCAGCTCGGGCCTGGAAAGGAATTGATCATATCTCATACGTAAAAAAACATTTGTAAGATTTTTTACTCTTTGATATTGAAAACACTTACCTGAGAAACAGCTTGCTTACACAGCTGGTGCACAGTTTCATCATTCATGATTACGCCTACAGAGATAAATGTGCATCACAGCTCCAATCAAAACGTAACATAAGGAAGTTGTGTTAAAAAATACTTACCATCCTCTCTGACTATACCATCATGACCATCAGATGAGTAGGGATCCAGAGCAACATCAGTGTAGATAACCTAGCAGAAGAATATGAACATTAGTCACGATTACCCCATTATCTCATTATAATGTATATTTAACAAGGAACATGGATTACGGATCTTACAAGATCAGGGTATTTGTCTTTGAGAAGACGAATTGTTCGAGGAACCAGACCATTGTCATTGTATGCCTCATCCCCTGTCGGATTCTACAAAATGGAAACCAAAACAAAGAGTTCAATATACAACTCAAGAACATGTGTACACAAATAGAAGAGAAGTCTGAAACCTTCAAAGCCTCGGGAACTTTAGGGAAGAGTACGATACTGTTGACACCAACAGCCCGAGCCTTTGCAACCTGTTTGCACAGAATTTCATAAAATCATTTCCTTCAAAAATAGTGGCTCTCAAAGAACCAAAATATAAAGGACAATAGAATCAAATCAAAACATAGATCCAACCTCTTGTACAAGACCATGCCTCCAACCAAGCCTATAGCAACCAGGCATGGCTCCAATAGGTGTGTCTTCCTCACCTGCCAGTCTCCAAAAACACAAACTGATTCTTAAGACAAAAGAAACCCTTGAGAGATGTTTAGAGTCAAATGCAAAAAGAAACTAACCAACCTTCATGAATGAAAAGTGGATATACAAAATTTGCAGGAGAGATGTTAGTCTCCTGGAAAGCAGCTCTCGCAATAGGAGATGCTCGGTTACGACGTGGACGTCGGCTTAGATTCTGAAAGCATAAGTAAGTAACATCAGAATGACAAACAGTAAAAGCCTCTTAAAGCTTCAACCTTTAGGAGCCTTTCTCAAACAAACTAAAAGGGTAATAGCAAAATCATCTGTTCGATGCAATTAGAGTGAGAGCAGGTTGAAAATGAAATTAAGGGTTTGGGAAACTCACGAGAGGCTTGATTATCGGCGTACCAGCCGGAGCAGCCGGTTTAGGTGGAACCGGAGGTGCTTCGGGAACAATTCCGGCAGCAACGTCGGCTTCACACTCAGCATCAGTCCTTCCAAGCTTCTTCGCTTGTCCGTTGCCAGATTCACTGGCTCTTATGACAAGAGAGCGACGTTGACCAGTAGCAATTGGAAGAGAAGCAATTCGAACTTTACTCACTGTCGTCGATCTCAGACCAACATAGTTCTTGCAATCGATTCCTTTGGTCGATGGAAAGCTACAAGATGCATTAAATATCGGTGTCGCCATGAATCTGCAACACACATTGAATGTAATCAAAATCACGAAAATTGGTGTTTCTAAGTCAAAGATCGAAGCTTTTTGGTTCAAATTGACAACGTAAAAGCAGAGAGAAACAGAGCAAGTGTAATCAAACCTGGAAATGCGAAGAAGTTGTTGAGAATTAAGCAAGTTTGAGTAAATGGGTTTACGAGAAAGATGATAACTTTAGCCTGATCGCAGTCGCTGACAAATTTGACAAGAAGATAGATAGAGACTCACTTCCACGCGCTTTATCTGCGAGTACACGAGTTCGAGGACTGGAATACACTGGGCCTGTTAAGAAAAAGAGTGGGCCTTTTAACAGAATTACGGTTGGTGAATAAATAAAATAAAATAATCCAAACTTTTTGTGTGTTTCGTTCTAATGTCGCCGTCGTCGAAGTTACCATGGGAGTTGGTCGGAGAGATACTTTGTCGGATGCCAATGAAATCACTTGCACGAAACAGAGCGGTATGTAAGTCTTGGAACGGTTTTTGGGAGGACAAGAGTTTCTTAAAGAACTACTTGTCTCGTGCGCGACCTCAATTCATCTTACGAACCAATTCCAAGGTTTGTTCAGTAGACATCATCAATCTCGACGACGACCCGATCATTGAGGTTCATGATCTAAATTTAGACACTCCATGTATCAGCTTAGTTCATTGCGATGGGTTCTTGTTATCTAACATGTGTAAGAAAGGGCTTACGGTTTGGAACCCATGGTTAAGACAAAAGAGACTGATAGAGAATCACCAAGGATTCAGGTTTTGTGGTGTAGGGTACGATAACAAAAGACCTCAAACGGGCTACAAGATTTTTGGGTTTGATTTATATTTGGCTGGTAATAATGGGAAACTCTTCTACCCAAAAGTTGCCATCTACGAGTGCAAATCTGATGAGTGGAAGTTTGTTAATGCCACTTGGGATGATTGGCTTATGTCAAAGTTGGATACTATTGTTTCTTTAAGTGGAAATTTGTATTGGATTTCTTATCATTCCCCTTCAAGTAGATATGTCATTCGATCCTTTGATTTTTCGAATGAGATATTCAAAACCTATTGTTATCTACCTAGTAATGGAGAAGGAGATGATTTATCCGGCTATAGTCAAGCCCTCGCGGTTTACAAGGGAGATCGTCTTTCTTTTGTTAAGGCAATCTTCTAGGACCAGGAAGATTGATATTCTTGTGACAACGCAAGGGATTGCTGGAGAAGGAGAGGTTGCGGTGTGGATTAATCTCATGACGTTTTCGATACCAAACTTCCCGAGGTTACAACAACACAAATGTTTTGAGTCTCAGCCAAGTTACTTTGTTGATGATGATAAGAGGCTATTTGTTATTAGAGATGATGAGAGATTAGATGGGAAGAATTATATTTACTCTCATGAATCATAACATAGGAATTACATGTGTTTATATAGAGATGAGATTTCCTAAACTATGATAGATAAAAATCTATATAATAAATACAATATATTCACTAATAATATCTTGGATCTTCTAGATCCTTCTATACACCCCCTCAAGCTCAAGGCGGTCATGGAGTGGTAGCGGAATTAGCGRCTTGAGATTGACCATAGAATGCTAGCGCAAAGTGGTGGAGCAGATTGTTGTAAAGACTTTGGCGGCTGTGGCGAGTGGAAAGGGAGAAAAGCTATGTGAAATGGAGCCGATGCGGTTGATGGGTACGGTGAGCCGAAACGTGATGATAATTTTTTTTTTTTTTTTAGAGTAAAAAAGATAAACTATATTATAAAATAAAGATAGAAAGATAAAATGGAAGTTTTTTATTTTTGGCTTGGAGAAAGAGGAACGTAAATAAAACCTAAAAGGAAGCATACTGGCAGAAGCACATTGGCTTAAGAAATCAAAACGATAAGAAAATAAAACGGATTTTGATCATTAGATCGAAACTGGGAAGCATGTAGTTTAGATTCATAAGTCTATGATAGATTTGAATAAGAAGAAGCTCTCTGGCTTAGATTCAGAGGCACTTAGGCTTGAATTAGATTCAGAGGTTCATGATGAACTTGAATGGTGAAAGCACTTGGCTTAACGAAAAACAAAAGAAAAGAAACACAGAATAAGAAGTTTGATCGCTAGATCGAAACTTTGGAGCAAACCTGCTCTGATACCATATTAGAGATGATGAGAGATTAGATGGGAAGAATTATATTTACTCTCATGAATCATAACATAGGAATTACATGTGTTTATATAAAGATGAGATTTCCTAAACTATGATAGATAAAAATCTATATAATAAATACAATATATTCACTAATAATATCTTGGATCTTCTGATCCTTCTATATTTGTGTGTGCTTGTGATGAAATTGGACATGCTTGCATCTACATTGTAAAGGGAGATGTGTTTAAGAAGATTCCAATAGATTTTGTGGTTGATCTTTGGCCTTCTCACCTCACCTATATCCCTAGTTTCATCCCCATTCCTTTGGAATTTCAAAGAGAAGATCAAGAATCGCAAGTTTAACTTTTTATTATTATATTAGCATCTTGTTTGGTTTTTTTTTTTCAAGTTAGTTAATCAAACAAACAAATGATGGTTTGGATTTAAGTCCTTAAACTCCTAATTTTTTTTTTATGTTTTCTAATGTGATTGGTCTCTCCAACAAGTGTTGCTTCCGTTGATGGATCAGAGAATGCAAAAATGTCTTTCATATTGTTCTTGAGACAGGCAGTATATGCGGTCTCCCTCTACTTCTTTGGTCAGATTTGGAGACAATCAATTCCACTAAAAAGAGGGTGAGTCTTACAACTTGCTTGTGGGTTCATGTTATCAATTTTAGCTAGGGATTGCTCGATCGATTGGATATTAACGGTACAATCTCTAATCGATCAGATGGATACACACTTCTCTTGGGAGCGAGCTTTGAAGCTATACAATCTCTACCAGACGAACGAACGATTCATTGTATATATTATTCATATTTTGTGACATAATGTTGAGAGATTTTCTATAGCTAGATTTTTAAAAGAATTCACCTATACTTAATGATATATACACTCAAAGCCCATAAAACAAAACAAACAATGAAAGATCCGAAGAAGATTGAGGATTACACGACTTTGGATCTAAGTTGATCAACAATGTCTATATATTTCCTCTTGAAGATGTTCTTCATGAAGAGGTTCGAGTTGTGAGAAATCAGCATCATTTACAGCTGAAAAAGGGACTCTTTTTTGTTGTAACAAGAGCAAAAGAAAAAAATTATCTTAGTAGGTTAATTATTTTGCTTAATTTTAATTTATTCTTTAAATTTTATAGCAAATATTTCACACAAACGTAAACATCTTTCTTGTGGTGTTAGAATTGTGTCAAAAGAAAATATATTGTATTCTTTCACCAAAAAGAAAGAAAGAAAATATATAGTATTCTTATGAAACATTCAAAACATAATGAATTGATACAAAAAA